ATGCTATCCTGTTTAGTTAGCCATCATATATGTGAAATTGTGTCATGCTGTCATGTTTGGTTAGACAACATAAATGTGAATTTTTTTTCATGCCCTCTTTTATTCCCCACTATCCATTGCACCTGTCTATCATACAATGTTTATACTTTCAAATACTTTTCTTGTTTATCAGCCATTTGAATTGGAGAGGGTGATGGCAGTATCTAAGGGAGTAACAACACGGTCTTCAGAAAAGATAGTGCTACCAGTTGATGCAGATAGAACCACGGTTGTACTTGCCCAAGGACCAGATCCACCACACATAACCCAGACTCTCGCAGATTGTACCCCTACCCAGTTGGACAGAGAACCAGCTACATGCTACCTCTTGAGCACTGCGTTGGATTTCCTTGAAGAGGAAAGGATGATGCAGCAAAGTAGCGTAAGTATTTCCCTCAGTTTTTGAGAACCAAGGTATCAATCCAGTAGGAGGCTACGCGCAAGTCCCTTGTACCTACATAAAGCAAATAACTCCTCGCAACCAACACGAATAGGGGTTGTCAATCCCTTCACGGTCACTTACAAGAGTGAGATCTGATAGATATGATAGATAATATTTTTGGTATTTTTGTGATAAAGATGCAAAGTAAAATAAAGGCAAAGTAAAAAAAGCAAAGGTAATAACAAAGTTATGGAAGATTAATATGATGAAGATAGACCCGGGGCCCATAGATTTCACTAGTGGCTTCTCTCATGAGCATAAGTATTTTACGGTGGGTGAACGAATTACTATTGAGCAATTGACAGAATTGAGCATAGTTATGAGAATATCTAGGTATGATCATGTATATAGGCATCACGTCCAAGACAAGTAGACCGACTCCTGCCTGTATCTACTACTATTACTCCACTCATCGACCGCTATCGAGTATGCATCTTATAGGTTGGCAATGGGAAGAGGTTCTTTGTGATGGGTTCGATCTTGCGGTGTCCTCAACCAGTGATAGAAGGTGTAGTGAGGCACGCATGTATCATTGCTATTAAGGATAAAAAGATGGGGTCTATTCCTACATGAATAGGTCTTGTCTACATCACATCATCATTCTTATTGCATTACTCCGTTTCTCCATGAACTTAATACACTAGATGCATGCTGGATAGCGGTCGATGTGTGGAGTAATAGTAGTAGATGTAGGCAAGAGTCACTCTACTAATCTTGGACGTGATGCCTATATACATGATCATTGCCTTGGATATCGCCATAATTATTTGCTCTTCTATCAATCATCCAAAAGTAATTTGTTTACCCACCGTATGCTATTTTCGGGAGAGAAGCCACTAGTGAAATCTATGGCCCCTAGGTCTATCTTTTATCATATTGTTTTCAGATCTATTATTCCAAAAACCCAAAAATACCTTGCTGCACTTTTTCTTTCTTTATTTATTTTGTGTTTTGCAAGATCTATTTATCTAATCTACCACAATTTTACTTATCTCAATATCGAGGAGGGATTGACAACCCCTCTTACGCCTTGGGTTGCAAGTATTTGTTCTTTGTGTGTAGGTACCGTTTACATAGTGTTGCTTGGTTCTCCTACAGGATTGATAACCTTGGTTTCATAACTAATAACTAAGAGAAATACTTACCGTTGTTGTGCTGCATCATCCTCTCCTCTTCGGGGAAATACCAACACAGATACAAGCAACCAGGAAGAATTTCTGGTGCCTTTGTCGGGGAGACATCATCAACATCTATCAGGTTCCTAGCTACTAGCTATGAACCCGTAGGTCTGTGGTAAACTACTCACACATCATCGGAAGGGCAGCAAGGTTGATGTAGAGGCCCTCCGTGATCGAGTCCCCCTCCGGTGGAGTACCATAACAGGTCTCCAGATGGGAACTTGCGAGGACAGAAACTTGCGGCGGTGGAAAGGTATTTTTTGTGTGCCCTCTGGTATACTGGGAATATTTGGGTATTTATAAAGCAAAGATTAGGGTTGGAGGAGCATCAGGGGGCGCGCCTTCCGAGCTTGTCGCCAACTGGTGGCCCCTCTGACCCCCTCCTGAAGGTTCCTGGGTGTCTTCTGGTCCAAGAAAAATCCTTAAAAAAATTTGTTCCGTTTGGACTTTGTTTGATATTAATTTTCTGTAAAACACAAAAAGAAGGGAAAAAACAGCAACTGGCACTTGGCATTAGGTTAATAGGTTAGTCCCAAAAAATGATATAAAATAGTTTAATAATGCATATAAAACATCCAAGATGGAACTATAATAGCATGGAATAATAAAAATTATAGATATGTTGGAGACGTATCAACCCTTGGGCAATTGCAAAACTTGTTTATGGCACTCCAAATGCCCTCTCAATGTATTTCCTCTGAGCTTCTTGTGCCTTTGCGAAAGGCTTATCCTTGCTCTCATGCTTATAAATTGTCTTCACGGATGTTGACAATGATGGATAGATGCCACCAGCTAAAAAGTGTCATTGGTCATACTAATGGTTATTCAGCGTAAAGTTGCAAGGTGGAGAAGTACCAGCAGCTAGACTTGCAAACATATGCGACCTCTACAAGACATTGATGCCATTGTGAGATCTAGGCAACCCAAAGTAGCAATTTCACATCCACAGATCTTTATAGGCAACAACTTCCAAAATTATGGTTGGATCCTTGTAGTCGTGCCAAGATGCATAAAGCTTTTTCCTTTTCTAGTGCATACAGTCAACACCCCCGCCATCCTTGGATAACCTCTTGCTTCATGCATTATAAGTCTGGTCCTGTCATCTGCATTGGGTGCTCGCAGATATTGCAGTTTATCAGCACAACAATTTCGGCGAACAAATTCGTACACTTGAGGATTGTATCTTCAACCATTCGAAGAGTGTCATCCAATGAATCTGCAAAGTATCCTAAGTACCGTGGTCACCTTCTAAAAAGAAAAGAAAAATAGGAGATCGGCGAAATTTCTCTATTGTTGGAAGAAAGGTTCGCTAGCATGCATGTCGTCAGCAATTTGACAGAACAGTCACTCGGTCATGCGGAAGCGTCGCCATGACACGTACGACAAGAAGGTACAACCAAACACAAACTAATCGAGCATGAACACAAACTAGAGTGGCATTTTAGACCAAAGTTGTCATGTTAGCGATTCGTATGGCAATGAAGAGTATACGTCAACTCTGCTAGAGTTGCTCTAGGTGACATGAACACGTTCATTTTTAGAAAAATATGTGTGCTTTTCTCCATTTTAAATTTCTCACCTCCCCAATCTACATGTGGAAATATAGACACTGCACATTTCAAAATCGAATCGAAAGACCATACAGAGAAAAACAGAACCGACCACAATTTTATGGTTTTTCGTTTATGGTATGGTATGAAATCTAAAAACCATATACAAGTCGGGTTTTCTGGTATAAAATTTTGGTAAAACGAAGAAAGGGTAGTTTAGAGGAGGCCTCTTTGTAGTGAAGGAATTTTTTTAGAAATAACTTTGACATAGTTAGGCCCTCTTTGGATTGAAGGGATTTTATACGATTGATAGGAATTTTTTCCTATGAAAGCGTTTTGGACCATAGAAATGGGTTCACCAAATTGTTATGGGATCCATTATATACCATTTCATTTAGGATTTGTTTGATTCAAATGAATTTCATAGGGTTTTTTTAGGATTAGAATCCTTAGATATTTGTTGTATATTGGTCATTTGATTTGTAGGATTGAATCCTATAGAATTTTTCTTAAGGAATCACTTGAAGTGGATTTCATAGAAAATCTAGCATCCACACCAATCTCTTGGAAAAATTATCTTATTTTTGTATAATACATCCAAACAAACTCAAATCTTGTAGGATTCGAATGGGAATGACATTTCAATCTTCTGTTTTTTACAATCCCACAAATCAAAGAGGCTCTCGGTAGGAATCTAAACATAAACTCAAATATAATTTTGTTTTTTTTAAGTCTCATGCGCTTGCACGATATCTCACTCTACTCCCTCTCCTGAATCCTCCAAAACTCCCGTGCTCATTTCTTGTGCAACATCCAAAGAGACATTTTATAAAATTCCTGTATTTTGAACTCCCAAATTCATACGACATATAGCATCTAAATATCACTACCTCCAATCTAAAATAAGTGTCGCAGTTTTGAGCTAGAACTATTTTGGATTGAAGGGAGTAGGAGGAGGTCGTGACTGGCCGGTGGGCCCCACCCGCCAGTGACATTGCAATGGAACCGAGACCTCTCCTACATGCAACAAACCGAACAGAGCCCCTCGGAATAATCCAAACGTTACGGCAGAGGACACCCTGGACAAGCACGGCACACGCGCGTGGGGCCCACACACCAGCCGGCGGAGACAGTGCGCTTCACGCAGTTCAGCCTCCCAGGGCTAGAAGGGTAACTTCCGGTGCCGTGACAGCTGTATGCCTCGCGTCTTTAATAGGAGTACCCACTAAACCTCTTTAAAAAATTGTAAATTCCGACTATGACCCTCACCAAGAATTCTCTCCGCTCCTCCACTTCACTCCCCGCTCTCCTTCGATCTCAATCCCCAAACCCTCTCCTCCTCCTCCCCCCGCGTCGCAATCGTCTCAAATCCCGTCGCCACCGGTCTCTCCGCTCTGATTCCTCCGAGACTGATTCGCTCCAGAACCTGTTCTTACTCTCTCGGGGGCAAAAAAAAAACCAATCTTGTTTTCACAGTCCTGTCTTTGTCCCGTCGTAGCTTCCATCTCCATTGCTGCTGCGCTCGAGGTTGCCCCGTAGAGAGCTGTCCCGCCCGTGCGGGGTGGGCGCAGTAAATGCGCGTCCTTGTGGAGAATCCCAAGGTTTCCCGCGCCGAATCTCGTCCTTGTTCCCCCGAGTTAAGAGGTGGAGGTGGTAATTCTTCGTACGCGCGCCAATCTTTGCCGCGTTCGTGGATGACGAGGGGATCCTCCTGACTCTTCTTCTCGAGCTTGCCTCCCACCCTCCTGGCTTTCTCACCACACCTGGATTCCTGGCGGAGCCGTGGTGCCCATGGATTTCCTATTATGCGTCTGCCTCCTCCAACTGCTGTTCTTGCGCTCTTCTCCGGTGGCGGCGCAGCAGCCGACGCCGTCGCCGGCTAGGGCCCTGGACGCAATGCTGCAGGAGTACGCGTACCGGGCCCTCGTCCGGCCGCGCACCGGCATCGTCTACAATGCCACCGTCCCCGGCAACCTCACCGGCGTCTCGGTGTCCGCGCTCCGCCTGCGCAGCGGCAGCCTCCGGAGGAAAGGTTTGTCCCAGTACTTTCAGTTCGGCCTGCCCACCGGCGTCATTGCGCAGCCGCGCGTGGAGAGGATGCTGCTCGTGTACCACAACCTGGGCAATTGGTCGCAGCACTACTACCCGCCTCCCCCCGGCTACACCTACCTCTCGCCGGTGCTTGGACTGCTAGCCTATGATGCTGCCAACCTTTCGGCAGTGGGGTTGCCGGAGCTGAACATCGTCGCGTCAGGAAGCCCGATTCTTGTACATTTCAGCAATGTCAGGGCGGCGCCGGCAGGCCGCCCAGCACCACGGTCACGGTGTGTGTGGTTCGACTTGGATGGTGTGCCGCAGTTCCGGGACCAAGAGGCAAGCAACGTGTGTGCTACGTATCGCCAAGGGCACTTCTCGATAGTGGTGAACTCCAGTGAGGTTGCTCCTGCTCCATTGCCACCAGGCGCAATTGCCCCGCCGATACCGGCTGCCGGAGGTCCTACCAAGGGGGGCTCGCAAGCTTGGAAGGTTGCCGTTGGCGTGGTTGGGGGCGCCATAGCATTGGGGCTGTTATCTTCAGCTCTTCTGTGTCTGGTGAGGCATAAAAGGGCCAAGAAGTTGGAGGTGATGGAGCGGAATTCAGAGGTTGGGGAGACATTGCGCATGGCGCAGGTTGGGCGGGCGCAAGCACCTGTAGCGCTGTGGACACGAACAAAACCGGTGATCGAGAGCGAGTATGCTGCATAGTTTGTTTTGGATTTTCTGCAGAGTTTAACCATCACTAACAATGCCCGGAGGCATGGAATTTGTCCATCAGTCAGGGGTTGCTAATTACTGAAGTCAGGGCTCAGCTTCAAAGCACTCTTTTGGTGGGTTTATTTCGAAGGTTAATTTTTATGCGATGGCTATAATTGATGTTCATAATTGCCATGTTCATGCCAAGGAGCTCTGTTCATCTCCAAAGCAGTGGAGAAGTGAATGTATCAAGTCAGATTTGGAATTCCTCAAAAAAAATAAAATTGGGACGCTGTATTTCAGAGGAAGTAGATTAGCGGTAAAGCTGGGTAACACTCACTGCAAACGACATGGTTTTTGTTGAAATTAATTCTAGTTTTGGATCAGTTCCATTTTAGCACTGTTTGGTTTTCCTGTCCAGACATCTGTTGAGATGATTACATGATGATGTACATGCCATTTTGGTAATTAGCCTGATAACTTATTTTTCATGGTTACTTGTTGTAAGATACAGTCTGTATGTGGTGTGAACTATCCGTTATCTTCTCGCTACAGTTCTTGTTCCGCAGTCTGTTGATGATTTGGTGTTATGGTCGAATTCCAAATTAATATGATACTCGAAGCTTACTAGGGTGTCATTATCATTTCCCTAAGAAAAAGGTAGCATTACCATTGCTCAGAAATTAGCATCAACAATGCTGGAATAGGGCTGTTGCTGACTGAAGCTTTAGATGACTGACGGTTTAAACAAGAGGCGTTCTATTTATGGTATAATTTAATACGAAATCGTTACACAACTCTTCACTTTTAATTAACATTAACATGTACCCGGACTAATTTATGAAAGTGTAATTCTTGTTATGCTTTAACAATGTCATTTATCAAAGTATGCATTCCCAGGTCCTCTTGTTGCAAATTTTCTTCGGAAGTGGGCTTGAACATCCTCCAACTTGTGAGCTGGCTTCAGGTCATACTTTCTGACTGTTCTGGGCATGTGTTTTGTATATATATACTTTGCACACGTTTATTATTGTGTTGGAAGATTATGTAATCTCGAGGAAACCGATGATTAGCTGTTGTCACAACTTAAATCATTATGTTTTAGCTGCCAATGTGTGTTGCCAGTTTCAAAGTTGAGAGTGCGCATTCTTTATAGGTGCCTTGTTTTCAGTGGATGTGTTTGCTGAAGTGTGTGGCAGAAGCAAACCGGAGTGCTGAATTGGTTGCACATGCTGCATCTGCAAGCAAATGCATTGGTTTATTCTGGAACAAATATAACGCATATATGGAAGCGGTTAATCTGAGCTCGAGCTCATGTGAGCTCGGATGCACAGTAAAAAAATGAAAACAATTCTTCTTTAAAAATCTGATTTCTTTTGTGTAAACATTGACAAAAGTTTTGCTTGCTTGTGAAGTTTCATCAGAAAAAATTGTTGTAAACATTGTCAATGTTTGCTTAAAAAAACCATATTTTTTATTTTACTGTTTACCCGAGCTCATGTGAGCTCGAGCTGATATAGATTGCACGAAAAGAAAATAGATGAGTGAGTGCTACAGGAAATATGCTCATGCATCTCATTAGTCAGGATCTGTGATACTATCACTTGTTTTGAAGCTATGCTGCACTGGGACAAGTACTACTGGACTGGTTGGTAATACTCCCTCCGTTTTAAAATATAGTGCTTTCTTTATTCCCGTGCTTCAATTTTGACCATAAATTTAACCAACGAGACCGACTGTGGTGGGAGCAAAAGTTATACCAGTGAATTCGTATTCAAAAGAAGTTTTCGATTATATAATTTTTTTCTCCCGCCGCAATCGCTCCCGTTGGTTAAATTTATGATTAAAGTTCGACCTCGGAAAGTGCGGGCGCACTATATTTTGGAATGGAGGGAGTACAATATTTGAATGGAGGACTGGCTGTGATTTGGTGCCTTCATCCTTGTACAAGATTCATTTGTCCATATTTCCTCTTCCTGCAGTATTTTGTTCTTTCTTTCTTCTTTTCGGCAGATGGATCTTCAGATTTTCTTTCAATCTCAAGCATGATTTAAGCCCGACAGCCCCAAGTGAGCCCATTTAGTACTTCATGGGCTGGCCAGGAAGTACTCCATGGTATGTTATCAACATGGACGGCCCATGTTCAACTAAAAAAACACATGGGCTGGCCATGTAGGCTACAAGCCGCGCGTTCTGGCCCAAATAAAAGTCCCAAATGAAACCCTGCCATCTCAAACAAAACAAAATCTCTCTGTTGCCCTAAAAAACAAAAACAAAAATCTCCTTGTTGCCCTCAGCTTTTGCCTGCAGCTTACATCCATACGTCTGAGAAATCTGTGTATTTTTTAGAACGGTTCGTGTGTTCATCCTGCTTTATTATACCACATGGCCGAGTCTTTTTATGGAGCATGACTTGGCTAAGGCAAGAAATATGAAGCTGGTGTTATGCCTATTTGAACAATTGACCGGGTTAAAGATAAACTTTCATAAGAGCGAGCTGTTCTGTTTTGGTAAGGCCAAAGATGAACAGGATGCTTATAGGCAATTGTTTGGATGTGAGTTGGGAGAGCTACCATTCTCATACTTGGGAATTCCTATCCACCATCGTAGGCTAACGAACAGAGAATGGAAGTGTATCGAGGACCGATTTGAGAAGAAACTGAGCTGCTGGAAGGGCAAGCTCATGTCATATGGAGGCCGATTAATCCTTATTAATTCGGTGCTCACAAGTATGCCGATGTTTCTTCTTTCGTTCTTTGAGGTACTAGTTGGTGTTAGGAAGAGACTGGACTTCTATAGATCGCGGTTCTTTTGGCAGGGTGATGAGCTTAAAAGAAAATATAGGCTTGCTAAGTGGGATATCATCTGTAGACCGAAAGACCAAGGGGGTCTGGGTATTGAGAATCTAGAAATTAAGAATAAATGCCTTCTTAGCAAGTGGCTGTGGAAGCTTTCGTCGGAAAATGATGCTATATGGGCTCAAATCCTTCGCGGCAAGTACCTCCAGTCAAAAACCTTGTCACAGGTCACAGTAAGGCCTACCGACTCGCCCTTCTGGAAGGGTCTCATGAAGGTCAAGCAGGCTTTGTTTAATAGGACAAAGTTTGTTGTTGGAAACGGCACGAGTGCACGTTTCTGGGAAGATACTTGGCTCGGTGACACACCCTTAGCCATCCAATATCCCTCCTTGTACCACATTGTTCAACGACGTGAGGTGTCCGTTGCATCGATCTTTCAATCTCCCCCTTAATATACGGTTCAGACGAGTGCTAGCGGGCAATCGTTGGGAAGAATGGCTCCGTCTGGTTAGGAGACTGATGGCAGTGCAGCTTTCTCAACAACCCGATGAATTACGCTGGAAGTTGACTAACTCTGGAGTATTCACGGTTAAATCAATGTATATTGATGTAATTAATTTGAACTCCATTCCTACGTCCAAACATGTGTGGGATGTCAAAGTTCCTTTGAAAATAAAAGTGTTTATGTGGTTTGTCCATAAACAAGTAATTTTAACTAAGGATAACTTGATGAAGCGTAATTGGACAGGATCTACTAGGTGTAGTTTCTGCGATCGGGATGAGACTATTAAACACCTATTTTTTGATTGCCCGCTGGCCAAGGTACTTTGGCAGACGGTCCACATTGCTTTCAATATCAAACCCCCGACTTCTGTTTATGCGTTCTTTGGGACATGGCTTAATGGGTTTGAGTCTAACGTAGCGAAACATATTCGGGTTGGGGCTTGTGCGTTGTTGTGGACTATCTGGAATTGCAGAAATGATTTGGTCTTTAACAGAATATAATGTATACAATTTTTGCAGGTTTTATTCCGGACTACGGCACTGATTCGTTCGTGGTCGCCACTCACCCAGACGGAGGCCAGGGAGCATTTGGTTACTGGGTCTGTCCGCTGGGAGATGGTAGCTCGGGATATCTTCAACCGGTTTGGATGGCGGTCATGTAATAGGATAGGCATTTAGTGTTCCTATCTACTTTACCCAGCCGGCTGTGGCATCTTGATTTGGCTAGTTGTTGTTTCTAGCCTTTTTTTGGCTCTGTGTGAGCTTTTTCTACTTTTTTACGACCATTGGAACCATGTTGGCACTACTTCTTTCTTAATAAGAGGGCCCTATGCATCGTGCTAATGCAGAGGCCGGGGTTTCTCCACCTTTTCGAAAAAAAAAACATGGCCGAGCCTCTAATAACAAGTAGGAGTAGTGTGCAGCCCCGATCTGTGTTCCCAGACTCGATTGAATATACACTCCAAAATCGTCGGGTCTGGAGCCATTCCAACGACGTTTAAGCATCCCGAAACGAGATACATCAAGTTTGGTGCCGATCAAGAAGAACTCTGTTCTTGAAGTAGGAGTACTAGGTCCGAAGTGAGGCAGCCCAGAATTTCTTTTGTCTCATTCTTTCTCTCCCTTTTCTGGTTGTACGTATGTGAACTGAAATCACAAGCTCACAGTTTTTGGACTTGTGAGCTGCTTCCGGGCACTTGCTCCTAAGCCAGAAAGGGGTAGCTCCTATCCGTTCCACAGCAGAGCAGCATATGGATGCATGTGGCCCCTGGGTGGCTGGCCTTGGATCCTGCGCTACAAAACAAAAGCGCAATCTTGGTTCCCACTCCATGATCGATCTTGACCACATGCAAAGGGACAAAGATGCCCAGGGTTCGATATAGCATCCATCATCCAGTCCACACCACGCATCATGTAAAGAAGATACGTACAAGTTTGTTTGTTATGTTAATCTCAATCACAGCATGCATGCATGCAAGAAAAGTCTCCAATTAGCGACTGTACGTGATTTACCTTCGGCAGCCTTGACACTTGGGCAAATCAAACGAAACCTCATAGGCATTGCAAATTTGAAACCTTGAGGGTACCCTCCCACCTTCTTTAGTTCAATTAGATGAACTAAGTTTTCAGAATTCACTTCATTTTTTTTAAAAAAATTAGTTCATTTGGTTAAACTAAACAGAGTCGGAGTGTACCCTAAAGGTTTCAAAT